AGAAAAACACGAAAAATCTTGCCAATAAGAGAGTAAAAGAAAGGGAAAGTAAGAAAAACAAGAAAATAAATTTTCAACAAAAATGAAAAAGGGAAATAGATAGAAAAGGAAAGGGAAAAAGGGGGAAAAGAAAGAAATCCTCTAATAATAATCAAAAGAAATACAAACAAGTAGAATTCTAAATTTTAACTTGAGAAATTTGACCATGATGGTAGATGGCGGATATGGGTTCTCTCTTCTTGCGTTTTCTCTTTTCTTTTCTTTTCTTTTCGTTTTTTGCCTATTTTGGAGCTAACCTAGTGTTGTTGGACTGCCTGGGGACTAGAAGCTCTTAAATAGTTTAGGATAGAATTAGAGAAACTGTTTGCCTTTTTCTAATAGGCTGATTTTGCTTTTTAATAAACAAAAAAAATATTGAAAATGTGTAGAGAACAAATTCTACCTTATCATTAACAATTTGTAATCAATTTTTGAAATAATTTTAAATTAGAGTAATCTACTTTAAATAATGGTAGCACTATCAATAATAAGTAATTCATAACAACCTGAATACCTATGAATACTAGGGGAGGAGTGCCCGCGCACTGCGCGGGTGTTTGGTGCCTGTGGTTGAAGAAAGTTTTTTGGTTGGACAAATAATAATACATTGCGAGAATAGTACGTTGCGATAAATAATTAGAAGCAGGTATGATTATAAGACAAACAACATAAGAGTCTTCCAATATTAGAATCAGGAAGTTCTCGAACACAAATAATTAGATGCAGCAAGTTCCCAAAGGTGTACGGACAAATATTTATGAAATTGTTTCAGGTAAAAACTACGAGATAGATAGTAGAGTAGGTTAAATAAGACATCATGTATGTCTACTTATTTAGTGATATGAATAGTAGTAAACTCATATAGATGCTGTAATAGACAGCAATCAGATGCGTTGCTTCTTGGTGGTTTCTTCATTTTGGTCCCAACTTCATCATCTACATGATGAGTGTAGAACATACATGATCAAGAGCCCTCCGCAACTTCCTGCTTCAACTACTCTGACTGCTGAAGTTGAAAGTGGAGGCAACGCAGGGATGTTGGTGCCTTTTCTTGTCGGAGTAGCTACTTTTGGTGCTTTTGGCTTAAGGAAGCAAGTAAGCTGAAGGAGTTGTGTGGTGAAGGACTACGCACTGCTAATGCCCACATTCGGTCGGTTTTCAAGTGAGTGAGTCATTAACTTACTAATAGAAGGTGATTAATGACAAGTTGTAGCAGAATAAAGATACTATGGGACCAAAATGAAGCAAAGGCCAAGTGAAAGTCTCATCAAATCCCAAATTAACTTAATGACCCTCGTAAAGATTGTCGGTCGGGCCCTTCGCAACTTCCTGCTTCAGTGGGTGGTGATTGTTTCCATGCCTAAGATTTATGTAGTATAAGGGCATAAAAAAATATCCCAATCCCAGAATATGAAAAGGTTAAAACTGAAGAAGGTGAAGAGGAGGCATGGAAATAATCATAACCGATGTAGTCGTTGGGCATTAACTTACCAACGTCTGGCTATTTAATTGAGGCTATAATGAGAAAGAAATGGAGTGTTTTGGCCATAAGCTTGGGTGAGAGGGGAAATGATTCTGTTTCAGACAAAAGTTGCAAGAGAAAACCCAATCCCCGAAGCTCAGGAGCCATTAGTAGGCCCACGTTTTTTGCCATTAAATTCAGGTATAAATGATAGAGAAGGAGGTCTAAAAGGAGGTGCTTCCACTCCTGAGCTCTAACCAGGGCGATGGTTGAGCAAGGTTGGCCTTTCTTATTCCCTTTCACTTGTGGGTTCCCTATACAAGTGATTTCCAAGTTCAGTGATCATTAGTCAAACGGTGTACTTATGATGTGTGAAGGCCATTTCAGTAATGACCGTGTGATTCAATTGCCGTATTTATGGTCATGACTTTTTCTTTTCGTAATGATCGTACTTATGATGTGTGAAGGCCATTTAAGTAATTTCACAAACCCCACAGGCTTATGTGTGTTGTACCAAAAGCAACAAATGGTTGCAGATTAATTGCACGTACCATAAATACCCGTATGTTTCAACAGCATAAAGTTTTAAATGTCTATAAATAAGGGTATTTTGGTTAATATACCTAACCACAAGCTTTCCTCACTTGTACCTATAGTTTGTAAAACACTACAGAATATTTCGCATTTCCAAAAAGTTCCTGCCTATGTGGTTGAAATGCAACCCACTCTTTCACCAAAACTCAATCTTATATAGTATAAGGACATAATTTGCACGAAGAGTAACTACATCATTTACATGTAATAAATTGGAGACAAATAATTAACCTCTTTTCACAACTAATAACCATCTTTGAAGACATGTTGTTCCTCTAGAACAAAAGGATTAATACTATATATAAAAAATCAACAATAATAAAATAGTTATGTTAATAATACTATAGTAATGCCTAAGTCCGAAGAGTTGATACATGGATATTTCATTTTTTTTAAAGTGATTCAAATTTTTGTGGAAAAATCAACTTCGATGTAGAAAAATGGAGATAGAAAAATATGAGGTAGCAAAATATGAGAAAATAGTATATAGCTCTGGAGTATAACTCCATTGGTGCCATTCTTACTTGCCAATATGAGATAGAAAATAGAGAAAAAAATTGCTCTATTTGGATTAACAGTTTTTGGGGTTATTTTTGAAAAATTTATTATAACAGAGTTTTTATAGTATATGTTAAGATATTATTAGAATATATTTTGCAATAGTTAAGAGTAACAGAGTTTTTAGAATATATTTTGAGATATTTTTTAAACATAAAAAAAATTTAGACTACTGCATTTTAGAGTACTTTTTAAAATTTTTTATAGGTTTTGAAAAACTAATTTTTGAAAAATTGATGGATCCAAACAGAGCCACTTTCTTTCTTTCTAACTCTGAAAACATTACTAGAAATAGTTGCACTAATATTGGTAGTGCTTTTTATCTCAAGTTATGTGCGTGTGTTACGTGCGATAAAAGGTGGACAAAGTATACATAATAGTTGTAGTAGATTACTAGTATTTTCTATCTCTAGCAACACTCATATATATATATATATATATATATATAGATGAAAAGTTAAGCAAATCATAAGTTACAATATTGGATACTTAAATTAGTATTGTAGCTTACAAATTTTAATAATTGAAATAGGTTCAATTCCTGATAATAATGAATATTAAAGTTATTCAATTACAACTTTTGTCTCCAAATAACTCATGTAAAATTGAAAAGTTAAATATTTTATTAAAATATTCCAACAAGGCATTTTATATCTTGGTAACAAATTTCAGAAAAAAAAAACTTGTCATGAACAATATGCCACCACTATGAACACATTTAGACATTCAATTCTCAACTCAGCTATTCGTTACACATTGAAGATCATCAATTGGATCAATACTTATTACTTATTTCAATTTTAGCCAAGAAAAGGCAATACTATTTCCATTTTGCCTTTGAGCATAGATTTCAAATATATTACATGTTGTCCTTTCGACTTTTATTGTTGTACCTAATTTTGATGACCACCACAGTTTTCATCTTTAAAGGTGCTGTCACAATTAATGATTAATGAGTCAGAGGGCAAATATCACGAACAACTTAACTCCAACAAATTTATAAAAGTTGTATATGTATATTCCTAATCGTGTCTAACCATTGTTAAGGAAAAATAGCTAAAAATGATATGTTAGTTCCTCTTTGAACTTATGACATTGCAACTCACTTGACATTGTTTTGTATCAAGCTCTCAACTTTTTGTACACAAATGTGGTAGCTTTTCCTTAGCATATTTTTCATGAGCTCCTAAGAATAAAATATAAGAGACTCAAAATAGCCACCTTCTTTCTTATGGAGTATTTCCTTACTTTCTTTTCTTATTTATTAAATATGCCTCTAATTTCTATTTATGACAAAGGTAGTTTTCTTTCAAAAAAAGAAAAAAACCAAATAAACCCATTTCTAAATTAGCATATTTGATTATACATCATTTTACAACTCAATTGAAGGAAACTTGTGGCAATCAAATCAATAAAAACAATTATGAAATCAATAAAAACAATGTAATAAATCTCCAATATCATTCTCATACATATTTTGTGTCTATAATAAATAAAAGCACTCAATCTAATTAACCACCTTTACCCACCTACATGGGATGTCCAATTGAATAGAATTATAGAATTGATAGGTCATTTCGATCCTTAAGTTTTACCTATATTTGTATCCGTTTCTTCTCTAATTAATTTTTCCTATAGTTTTTATCTCTTCTAATAAGTTTTATGTTTTCAAATAAATTTGAATTATTTTTCCTATTATTTCTCTCTCTTCTAATAATATCTATCTTTTTCTTAGCAAAGTTGTATAGTTTGATTTATCAATATGGATTAACTTTACTTATTATCATTTTAATTGTTGCATTAGTAAATTTTTTTTTTTGTTGTAGAAAACTGAATACTCATTTATGAGAAAATGAGTTGTTAACTCTTTTGTATTTAATTGCATACAAATATGTAGTTCTAAGTTTATGGTCATGGTAAAGATTTTAATTTTTTCAAAAATATCTGTAATTTTTGTTATATGTTATAGTATTTGATGATATTATTACATTATAGTAGAAGTATGCATAGAAGTTTTAAAAGAAAATATTGTAGTCAAATAATTAGAGTGCATTTTCTAAAATTAATATTATGTGAGAATTTTGTTGAATTTTTACTTGAATTAGTCATATTTGCACAAATTCACAACTAAGTAAATAAAATCGTGCTCAAGCGGGGGCTAAGTCCTACTACTTACCAGTTACCACATAGTTCATTTTATATTCGAACGCAAATTAGGAAAGATTAGTGAAAACAGTCAATATGAAAAATCAATTATGAATAATTAGTATCCCATTCAATAATTTCCATAATAAACAGCCCTTCTATAGCAATTTCTCCCTTTTCGTTTTTTCAGGACTCCCCACTTCCCCCCAGTCGCCAGTCTCCGCGGTCGCCACCACTGAAATCCTCTCCTGATTTCAGTATCCCAAATCGAGCGCCACCGGTGCAATTCCCCTCCCCGGGGCCCCCCAACATCCCACCCCATCCCCCATAACCAAAACCCTGAATTTATCCCCTTGGAAAACTCTCGTTAAACCCTCCTCTTCCGTTCAAATTTCCCAGCAATGCCTGCTTCCTCCTCAGGTTTATTTGCAGCAGAAAGAAAACATTTATTTTCTATTTATTGATTGATTTTTTCTTCTGTTGTTCAATTTACATTTTTATGAATTTGGGTTTTTTCCCTTGGATGAATCAGAGGCGAGGACGAGGTGGAGGAAGCGGAAAAGAGAGCCCCAAATTTCGCGAAAGTTGAAAGCACCCCAACAGCCTGCTCCAGACGACGACGTTTTGGAAGACGACGACGAGGACGAAGAAGAATTGAACGAAGATGATAACAACAACAACAATAACAATAATAACCAAAACCCTAACAACATTACCCTTGAACGGACGGTCCAGATTAGGGAGAGCGAGTCGGTGTCGGACGGCGGTGAGAGGATTAGTAGCTTCCCTCTGGTTATAAAACGGGCGGTACACCGGCCGCACTCGTCCGTGACCTCTGCCGTGACGATGGAGAGAGCTGGGAATTTAGGGGAAAGTAGAGGGCAGGGGCAAAACGCCCTCGTTTTGGAGAATATTTCTCATGGGCAGCTACAGGCCTTGTCTACTGTGCCCACGGATAATTTGGTTATAGGTGAGGAGGGTGGGAGTGGATCGTATGTGATTACACCTCCCAGGATTATGAAGGGGCACGGCGTGGTTAAGAAGTTTGGCAGTGCTGAAAGGGTTCATGTGGTTCCAATGCACGCAGGTTATTGTGGAAAAATTCTTTTATGCGTTGATTCGTAGTTAATAGTTATAAATTTACATGCTTGGTGTTTATTCCAACTTAATGGCTTTGTATACCAATAGAAAATTATTTTGACAGCTAGAAAAACCAGGGAATGAAGAGCTGAGGATGTAATGGAATCATATTGTTGTTTAGTTATAAATCTGGCGTAATAGCTTGTTTGGTTAGTTTTTATTCAGAATGAGTAATCAGTTGCTTAAAAGTAGGCATAGCTGTGAGCAACTTGTTTCAGGGGTGGTCAGGTCAAGAGAACTAATGACCAATGTTGCTTAGGGTTGTCTAGAGATATGTATAGTCCTTCTGAGGATGGTTTAATACAAGTTTATGTAAAGATTATATAATTTGTGCAAAGATTTGTCTCTCTAGGTGGTGAGACTAAATTCTCCAATGCGCTTGATTTTTTCTTAGCTGCCTATGATGCTTGTTGATATGACTCTCGGCGGATTTACTTAAGAGGATTGTGTATGGTATTGTTGTGAAATTGAGCTAAAATATCCTTTTTAATTTGTTTGCAAAATGTCTTGCAGAATGATCCTTAAGTTTTAGCCAGGTACAACTGTTGTCCATGGGTGCTTCATAAAATTAAAATAGTCTTAACTGGTGTGGTTCTCCTCTTCTTTAAATAATAGAACATGATGTTTGTTTTTGTGTGGTTTCCCCTCTCTTTTGAGTGTTTTCATCTGTTCAAGTCTGTGATTAACATCATCTTGTGAAATATAATCTAGTTTTTTCATATTAATCTCTTAGCAGATTGGTTTTCGCCTAATACAGTGCATAGATTGGAAAGGCAAGTTGTGCCACACTTTTTTTCGGGAAAATCATCAGATCATACACCTGAAAAATACATGGAGTGTCGAAATTGTATAGTTGCCAAATACATGGAGAATCCAGACAAGCACTTGTCACTATCTGACTGCCAGGGATTAGTAGCTAGTGTCAGTATTGACGATTTAACTCGTATTTTGCGGTTTCTTGACCACTGGGGGATCATCAATTATTGTGCTCCTACCCCTAGTCGTAGTGTGCAAAAGGATGGAACATATTTATGTGAGGACTCCAACGGTGACCTTTGTGTTCCTGGAGCTGCTTTGAAAAGTATTGATAGCTTGGTTCAGTTTGACAGGCCTAAGTGTAGGTTAAAGGCAGCTGAAGTATATCCGGAACTTGCATGTCAGCACGATGAAGACTCTGATTTTGATAGTGCAATCCGGGAACATTTATCTGAAACCAGATGCAACTGTTGTTCTCGGCCAACTCCTACAGTATACTATCAGTCACAGAAGGAGGTAATTACTTATTGTCTTATTAATTATTTCAGCTGCGATCGGTCTTGAATGGGTTCATATTCTTCTCTTTTGCGGTTAAGTCGCTGGATAGACAACTTTGTTGTGTGTCTTTTAAAGGACAATATGTTATGCAGCTTCATGGGGTTATGTGTTGGAATATTATCCTTTCACATTCTCCTTGCATGTATGCAAATCATGCTCGCAGAGTTCACACAGTTATAACCTTTTCAGTAATCTACTTCCACGTGGCTTTTTAGGCAATGCAACCATCCTGCATGTCATATACATCTGTCCAAAATCAAAATCATAGGTAAGTTTGATTTTGATGTTGTTGATTGCAAAAGAGATGTTCACATTTTGTGAATGGCTTGAAACTTTTATATGACCAAGATATGTGGTTCTTGGGATAGGAATTTGATATATATTCTCTGTGTTAATCTCGTTCTTGGTGGTTGTCCATATGGACTTAATCTTGTTCCGTTTCTTTTGGTAGTCTGATTTCTGTTAAAGGTGATAGTGATGTTTGAACTCCTCTGTGTCCAAACATGGACGAAAGGACCATTTAGCAATTAGTTGGCCTAAATTTCAATTTTTTGTTTTTGGTCCAAGGGTTTTGGGTTTGCATCTGCCAATTGAGTTTAATGCTTCAGACAGAAGATTGCACTTTAGCAAGCAAATGTTGGAGGCATGAAAACAATGGAAACTTGAAGCTGCACTAATTGCATGTATGGTGCCACTTCTACTGATTGTTTGCTGAACCTTTCCGTTGGGTTACTTTTTTTAGGATATTTAAGTTCTGGTGGAATCTTCATTGATTGGTATAGGATGGCCAACTTATAATGGCCAAATCTTGGCCAACTTATTGGCCAAGAGTTGATACTTTGATGTTTTGGTTTTTGAGTCTAGACCATTAACATGTGGCTTGTTTATCATGTGACATCTTGTTAAAGTAACTGGTCAATGGAACTCTGTTATGTTCTGTCTGTTTTATACTGGTGTAGAAGTGCATATTGCAGGATGGATCCAAAATTTTTGGTTGATTAATGTTTACTTGGCTAGCTATGGACACTGTGATTCTTTATAAAATTTAGACACTGAATTGCACAATAAACAGGAGGAGATAGTTGCTATGTTACATACTCGGGTACTAGAATATAGATATGGTAATACTGTCTTTGAGTTGGATATGTCCCCACGGAAAAGGTGGGGGGGGGGGAGTTATTAGACTTATAATACATAGTTTTTGGGATTTCTTGAGCCTGCATTTCACTCGGAGGCTTTATTGTAACTGCTACCTATGTCCCAGTAATGATGTCACGCTTTTCTTTTTGGTCCGTCCAAAGTATGTGTCAGGTTCAGTTGTTCTTTTTTACTTTACTGGCAAAAATATGATGTTAAGTGAATGGGTTAGGCCCCCAGGAATCTTATTCAAACTAACTCCATGTAATGGCGTTTCACATACACAAACTAGAGGAAGGTGATTACAAATCGTTTGGTGCACAGACTAGCAGTATATGTGATTTACATGTTAAAAGGAAACACAAGCATTTTGGCCCCACCTGTGACTATACAAGATGTACTACTCTAGTTCTTCAAGCTTTTTCCTATTCAAACTCCCACTGAGAAGAATAAAGATGGAACTAATGCAAACTAAATAACCTGCATAGAACTGTTGTCAAAAAGCTCCGCCAGACAGTGACAATCTCTTGAGACCAGCGGGAGTATTTGTTTTGTTCCTTGTCGGCAAATACCAAAATATTATTCTTATGATGATGGTTGTAGTTGTTTTGATAAGATACTCAGAATGCTGGATGCTTGCGACTTTTTAGTTACGAAATCCAACAAGAGTTGGTTGTGATGCTTTATGAAATGAATCCAGTTGATGATTCAATCAGAAAAAATATGGCAATTGTTACCTGTTATCCCACATTCACATATGCGACCTATTTAGTGTATATAGAAATAGGAGTTCAAGGGATTTTTTTTATCTTGCTTGGCTCATTTTCTCCTCATACTTCATGGTGCCTAATTTCTAGTTGCATTTTTTGTCTGAACATGCATATATAGTGCACTAAAGCTTGTCTCCTAGTCAAAGATCAAAAAACCCGATAATTTTTACCAGATCCTGGATGCATTTCAGACTGGTACCTGTTTTTTGTTGTGTTGACATTAGTATCTGAGGGAGAAGTGTCGAGTCCAGGTAACAGACCTTAGTGGATCAAAATTTATTTGTTAGGAGATCTAAATGGAAAACCTTTTATAAGTGAAAACTAGACAATCCCCATAGGAAAATCTCCTTGCAAACTTGTATTTGACATTTTGTCCTTTTCTACTTATCCTCTAATACACAATCGCATCAATGTTTTAAAGAGAATTGGAACTGTGGGAGTCGGGAAATGTTTACATTCACAAAGAGTGGTAGAATTTTTGGTGATTTTGTAGTAAGGGCAAATCAGACACACTTTTGTCCATGAAACCTCACGTAATCAGAAATTAGCCAATCATTAGAAGCCTTTATGAATTAGTAAAGTTTGCCACTGGGGACGATAATGTTCCTGGTAACATGTTTACCATACCTTTCTGGATGGGTTTGGACGTTTGTTGGTGCCTAAAGTCCATCCTTGTCTTTGGTCTTGAGTTTGAGGCTTTGAATGACTTGCCCTTGGGGATTGAATCTGAGTAGGAATTTTGCACTCACTTTGCACATTTTGATTGGTCTCTTAGGGTTGGCACATAGTTTGAAGAGCTAGGCATTTTCAACTTTGTGGAAATATTCCCAAATTAGTCTCCATTTTCTAGAAAAAAATCAGTATAGGCATTACTGCTAAAATAAACTTAGGAAGCTGTTATGGTTGATACAATGAGATGGAGAAGTTTTAAGTTGTTGTACATGTTGTGTTGCCACTTGGCTATGTACCTCTTACTGGGAAAGAGATATGTGTTTGTCCTTGGGTGCATTCTGAGGTAAGAGATTTTTAGTGACTAGAAGAGCATATGAGGTGACCTTTCACTGATTGAACTGCGAGTTCCCTTGTTTTTAAAAAAATACACATTTTCTCTCTCTTTTTTTTTGTTTTATTGGTAAAGCTGTGTGTGTGTACTTGTACCAGTTTGACTTTTCTGGAGTGTCTTGTATTTCGCTTATAAAGAGAAAAGTAATCAGGAAAGGAACGTAAGCTGATTCGGAGTTGCTAAACATTTTTTGTTTCTTTCGTCACTTTCCTGTTTCGTATTCATGACTGGCAAGCATCTTTGACAGGTTGATGTGCTATTGTGTTTGGATTGCTTCCATGATGGCAAATATGTTGCAGGCCATTCTAGCCTGGATTTTGTGAAGGTCAATTCCATGAAAGGTTATGCAGGTCTGGATGGAGAAAGTTGGACTGATCAGGAAACCCTTCTTCTTCTAGAAGGGATGCAACTCTATAATGAAAACTGGAATGAAATTGCAGAGCATGTGGGCACCAAGTCTAAAGCACAATGTATCCTCCATTTTGTCCGTCTGCCTCTTGATGCTACTCCCTTGGGAAATATTGATGTCCCTGGCTGCGCTAATTCATCAAATCTCCCGGATGGAAATGAATGTGGGAGGTCACATCCAAATGCAAATGGGAATCTTGCAGGTACTGTACTGGGCTTGCTTTTTGCCCTTATCTTGTACTTCGCCCTTTTGGTCTCTTATTTCCAAATAAGGATCTGCTAATAATTAAAAATCTGCATCTCTTTACTGATCCAGGATGTGGCTTGCAAGACCCTGATTTTGAAACTAAATTTCCTTTTGCTAATTGTGGAAACCCAGTTATGGCTCTGGTAGGTGGTTTCTCTAAAACTCTAGTTCCTTTTCACATGATTTTGTAGCATGTTTATTTCTAGTGCTGTTTTTTTGCATGCTTAGCTATTACCTGATTCATGTCTGAGTTCTATTAAACTTTGTATCATTTTTAAAAACTGACTGCATGTTACACTGCATGTTACATTTATTCATACTTATTGACTGACTGAATGTGGAGAATTTTTTTCCTGCAATGTTATTGACTTGAAATTGTACACTGAGGTAGAAGAATCTTGAAAATCTAGAAAATCCACAGAGAGAGAGAGAGAGAGAGAGATCATCTTCACCTTGGCATCCTCCAATTATGTATGTCATAAGTAATTCAGGTTGCTTCACCTTGACTTCCTCCAGTTTGCTGAGATGAATTTGTCTTTGGGAGAGATGGTTTAATGGTTGATATCCATGTCTTTGTGCAAGCCAGCCTTGTATCTACAAGTCTCAGCCGTATGAGCGGCTGCACTTTCTTCCCTCACCCACTCACCAAAGCGTTAGGCTAAAAATCGTAATCCCAGCTTATACTTGTCCTACAGGATGTTTGTTTCCTTCTATTGTTTTTCTTTAGAGTCATATCCTTCTTTAGCGTTTCTTTAATTTGTCTCCTCTTTTGTACGTGTTTGCTAACTTCATCAAGGAAACAGTATCTTGGTGTTAAAAGTGGAAGGAGGATTGTGATTTCATTAGTGAAAGTCCTGCCTGGCTCAACCCTTAGTTCTATGTTGTTACTTCCTCTGTATTCTTCTACATTAATAGCAGATACCTAGGATATTTTTATTCCTACTTAAAGGAGGTATTACTACTGGTCCTCCTTATTTCATAGGAGGTACGTCAGAGCATTTTTCTTCCTGTATAGCTTCAACTCCAATTCATATGCTGATTTCTATGCTTTCTCTTTCTTTTCCTCCCATCCCTGGACGTGGAACTCTTTTTTTTTTACATTTTTGTTCCCCTCCTCATTTTGGATTTTAAAGCTATGAAGGTTCTATCTGACCTTAGTCACTACTCCACACATTGGCACCTCAGAGTAAACTATCTTGTGTATCCTTGTTTTCTATAGTAATATAGGTTAAGTTCTTCCGCAGAATACTTTCTTGGTTTTTGTAATTTTGCATACCTCACAAGTTTGTAGGTAATGTATGCTAGGCATGTTAACTTTTAGAAGCAGCTGAAACTGTCTTGAGTATTGCTTAAATGTCAAATGTGCTTTATAGATAACCAAATATTGACAATAAGTAATTATACAATAATATAGAATAGTTGCTTTTCCCATTCATGCCATCTTAAAGCGATTTATGTTTACCAAATTAAGAGTATGCTTTGACAATTTTCTATTAGCTTGGGATCTCTCTCTCCTCTTTAGTTGAAAAGAAAAGCATGTAGTATACGCAAAAGGTGGATGTTCTCCCTTTGCTAGCAATCCCTGTCTGTGGCTGGCATAGATTACAGACATGAACCATGTAGAATATGAATTTTTGAATGTTAGGGTAAGGTAAGTTTTGCACTCCTGGTGAACGTGTCCAATCTCCTAGAGTAGCTTTGCTTTCTAGAGATGTTATAATGTCAAGTTAGATGAATATAGATGGTAAGAGAATTGAGAGTAATGTGAGCCATATAGTTGCCATATTCTGCACCAGATGTGTAGGTTCAAAATAAGATTTTTTTTCTTTTCTTTGATATCAAGACATCTATCGAACCACTCTTCATTGAGCCACATATTTTAACCCTTGGCTATACGAAATCTGAGACTTACTCTGGGCGTCTTTTTTATGGTATTGAAAGCTTCTAATATAAACTTGTTGAATCTGCATATGCATTTTAGCGACTTTGATGTTTTTTGTATTTTAAATTTTCAATATATATATATATTCATGTCGACCTATCTGTTATAATTCCTAGGTTGCCTTTCTGGCTTCTGCAGTCGGACCAAGAGTTGCTGCAGCATGTGCCCATGCATCCCTGGCTACATTATCTAAGGATGATTGTTCAACTTCAACTAGAAATTTTATGCAGATGGATGGATCAAGGTTAGTTTACTGTCTTCTTCAATTGGTTCTTTAGTCAGTATTTTGATATTGGCAATTCTTATTTGCTTTTCCGAATGTACTATTGATTTTTTCAATTTCATGACTTGGTTATGTCATTCCTTTGGTTCATGTTATAGAGTGAACATTTGTATGATAAGGGTCTGTAGTCACTGCTTTACTATTTTAACGGCTTGTGCATTTGAATGCTGTTGTGTTCCTCTTATTGATTCTTTCCTTTGAGTCTATTCCTTTCCTGACATCCTTCACAATTTTTTATGCTATTAAGGTCTGTTTGATAACATAAAAAAGTGCTGAATTTGAATTTTTTCAGACATTTAGATGTTTTGAGTATTTGATAAATGAAAATCCATTTGTTGAACTTGTTAAGTAATGCTGAACTTGTGTGTATTTTTTTCAGCACAAGAATCCTAACTGAATGCTTAATTTTGATAAGAATCAATAGAATTACTTCAATTACCTTATCTTATCTACCAAATCTACCCTTATTTGTTAATTATGTTAAAAAATTCTTATCTAATAAAACAATTTAATATTCTCTATCTAATGATTTTCTATTTCTTTTTTCTCCCTTTTGAATGATTTTCACATCTTCTCCATACTCATATAATATATTTTATCTTTTATATTAATTTGATTTAAAAATAAATATTGTCATTTTCATTCCTAACATTTTTAGCTAATTAAATCACAGGTTCTATTTCTTTTTTGGATGAAAAGATATAAGGGCAAATTTGTCAAATTTAACTTATTCAGCATCCAGTTATAAATGTTTATCAAACAGTATAAATAGGTTTAATATTAAAATTCAGACATTCATATATTTTTTCAGTGCTTAAAATTCAGTAAATTAATTATTTCAGTATTCAGATTTCAGAATTCCAACTTCAGAATTCAGATTTAGTTTTATCAAACGGAACCTTGGTTATGTCATTCCTTTGGTTCATGTTATAGAGTGAACATTTGTATGATAAGGGTCTGTAGTCACTGCTTTACTATTTTAACGGCTTGTGCATTTGAATGCTGTTGTGTTCCTCTTATTGATTCTTTCCTTTGAGTCTATTCCTTTCCTGACATCCTTCACAAATTTTTATGCTATTGAAGGATAAGTAAGGATAGCGGTCCCCGTGGAGACTTTGGAAACTCAAGCCAGCAAAAAGGTATGCTGTAAATTAATTTTTTCATCTTCTTTCTTCTTCTTTATAATAATCAGTGGCCAAAATTCTCAGAAGAAAAGATGAGAGGACAAGGTCCCTGGACTAATACAGATACATTTCCATTATCTGCTGAAAAAGTAAAAGCTGCTGCAAAAGTTGGCCTTGCAGCTGCAGCTACAAAGGCAAAGCTTTTTGCTGACCATGAAGAACGTGAAATTCAGAGGTTATCGGCTAATATCATAAATCATCAGGTATGTTAGTTGCTAATACGATGAATCTTTGAGATCTCTAAGGATTATATTCGTTTATTCTTTCTGTAAGGTGTTTGATTGGAAGGAGGTACACTTTTGCATTTGTGATAGTCTTAGCAAAGTGGGTTTGGTTTGAAGGGAGAATTGAGGAAAATAACTTCTGTTTGCTTTGGAATTGTGTTATAATGTGAATATTTGGAGTGTTTTTTGGGGTGTTACTGACTCCACGTACTGTAGACTCCAAAACTTACTCCAAAACTTGTTTTTGAAATACTCCCTAATCCATACAGAGAATTGTTTTGGACCTAGAATTTTTGTTACTTGGGTATGTTACTCTGCTGCTCTTGTGAGGCCTTTAAAAGTCTCTGGATTTGTGCACCTTTCATATTCCAATCTCGATATTTGTTTGGGGAACTTTTTGACAATTGCTGATTTAATACATGTTACACTTTGATTTTCTATTTGAACTCACAGTATTATTATGTGGAATAGTTCAACTTAGTTCTAGACGTGGTTCCTTGCGAGCATTCTGACTTTTGACTCTGCAACTTCACCTTTCTATGCAGTTGAAAAGATTGGAGCTGAAACTGAAGCAGTTTGCAGAAGTAGAGACACTCTTAATGAGAGAATGTGAGCAAATGGAAAGGACAAGGCAGAGAATTGCTGCAGAACGTAATGTTATATTATCAGCACATCTTGGCTCTTCTGGATTATCTCGACCTATGGGCCCACCAAGTGTTGGTCAAGCCATGGTTAATAGTAATGTCGGTAATAATAGGCAACAAGTTTCAAATTCTCCTCAACCATTTATATCTGGGTTTGGCAGTAATCAACCAATCCATCCGCATATGTCACTCATGTCACAACAACAATCGATGTACGGAATTGGGCCTAGGTTACCATTATCAGCTATACAGCCATCTTCCTCCTCTCCTAATGTTATGTTCAACCCTGCAGCGACCTCCCAGGCTGCTTTAAATCATCCAATGTTGAGACCTGTGTCTGGGTCTAAATCTGGATTAGGTTGACTGTAGAAGTGATGATGCAACAAGATTGCTTGTGTTACAATTCTTGTGCTTTCAGCACTAAAAGTTGGGAGAGTGGATGGGGTAGATAGCTGCTGTGCATGTTGTATTTTGGCCCGTATGTTTCACTGGGGGCCAGTGTTTTCGACGCAGCAGCCCATGCAGAAGATGATGCAGCAAATCTCAGATCAGTAGGAAAGTGACGTGACTTTCTTCAGCAATGGTGGTTCAACTAATTGATTGTTCCTTTTCATTGCTACAATTGTAGGTTCCAGTATGTTATTTTTGTTGCTGACTGATTAACTACCAAGACAGGAGTAATTTAAGTAGCATGCTCGAGATGTTGCAACCTTGCTGTACAGATCATGAAATATGCAGGGATGTAGTGAAAGCATGAAATAGACGCCTTGTTATTTAAATCTCTGGCATATGCATATCTTCATGTCATTTTGCAGCTGCCTTGATTTTGCAAATCGAAGTGGCATTGGGTTGTAGATCACTTTCTGTTACACGTCCCATGCGACGTGATAATTTTGTAGCGTTGTTTTATATTGCAGCTCTCTGCTTCTGCCTCCTTAAATATATGGAATTGGTGAACAAAAAGAGTGCTGGAACGTAACATTGAGGCCCTGTTTGGTTCTAGGAAAGTACTGAGGAAAAGGAAAGTCTTTCCGAGAGAGAGTGTTTCCCATGTTTGGTGTGGGGGAAAGCCAGTATGGAAAGGAAATCGTGGGATTTCATTTCAGAAGGGAATTGGGAATGCTTTTTTGCCTACAAAATCAATTCCTTAGGTTCCTCTATTGCGGGATTTTGGTTGATGCAGTTTCTAGGTTTGATGTATCATGCTTGCTTTCTTGTTTTCACTTATTAATTTGTGGGTTTCTTTGGTTAGTTTTCTGTTTTAAATTTTCTTGTGCAACTAGCTTGAATGTGGATTCTCACTTGATCGGGCTGGCTTGAAACCGTCAAAAGGGAAATGGAAATTTGTGGCCAATTGGTAATCTAGAAACTCATCCGTTAGTCCTGCTGAATGATATAATTACATCTATTTTATATTAGAATGAAGGCATACAATGGTAATCATCATGCTAAGAGCTGGCTTATTGTCTTATTAAAGTCGTTGGGCACTAAAAGTTGTTAGTTCATAGTCTGGAATCTAGATGTGATTCCTAAAATCACCTTCCAGTATCTTAATCAAATGGGCTGAGCCAGAAATTTTGCTCGCGGCTTCTTCTTAGCTGAAGTTTGCGTGCATTCTTTCAGGTCCTCGTGTTGTTTTTAGTCACATTTTTCTGACACAGTCCCTATTAAATTGGCACCTGCCATGGTTTTAAGAAATTTAGTTTGATTTTGGTTCCAAAAAATTTACTCTCAATCCACTTCAAGTTGACCAGAATGAGCTTGGCAGATGATTTTTCTTAAGTGCATGATGTTTAAACATTGGGAACAAAACTGGGAATTTGTTAAAACTCATCCACCGTAGCAATTGGTTGTCATAAGCGAAGAGGGACTTTCATGTTTTAGGTTGGGAGTTTCATTGGTCCTCCTCCTGAAATGCAAAGCAAATTATAAATCCTCTGCAACAGTTTAATCTAAGAAATTTAATGAAAACAAGCAATATTCTTTGCATCACCTGCCTAGAACTCAATTCCATGATTAGGAGACAAGTTCTCTTTAGATGGATTGTAGTAGACCTGGCAATTATGTCCAAAATCCAATAACTCATCCAATCGACCCACTAATTTGAGAGGTTAGGTTGGGTAAGTTGGGTTTTGGGTTGGGTAATAAAAACCCGTATATATGGATTGTAGTAGACCTGACAATTATGTCCAAAACCCAAGAACCCATCCAACTCACCCACTAATTTGAGAGGTTAGGTTGGATAAGTTGGGTTTTGGATTGGGTAATAAAAACCCGTATATATGGATTGTAGTAGATCTGACAATTATGTCCAAAACCCAAGAACCCATCCAACCCACCCACTAATTTCCCATATATATTTTGGGCAGTTTGGGTATTTATGTTGGGTATTTATTATCCAACTTAAATTAAAAAAACAAATAAACAAATTAAAATCAGGAAACAAGAAATAATAATGAAAGTAAACACGTGCTTTATTCAATTTAGGAGTTGTATGATCGCAGAGCCAGAAAATTTGGATTTCTGAGCTTATGCCCCTTGGGTTGCTTGCCGGCACTCCTAGGTCTCGAAATCCTAAAGGCCACCATGCTGGCTGTTTTGAACAAGCTAGTGCTCTAGGATTTGCACGTAACAATGCTGTACAGGCTGTCCTCCCCAATCTTGAACTCCTGCTCAAGGGTTTCAAATACTGCAACTCCAATTTCTATGATTGGCTCCTTGATAGGATTAATGATCCCACAAAGTATGTTAAGTTAATAATCCGCAAGTGTATTTTAGTGTGTTTGTATGTGTAAAAATAAAGTATTTTAAAAGAGCTTAAGAAGTGAGTGTATGCTCGTATCTGTGAGTGTTTTAGTGTGTGAAAATATGTTTATCTGTGACAATTTTTTTTTTTTTTTGTATTTGAAAATGTATTTGAGAGAGTTTATGTATCAAAATCTATTAATTGATATATTAGGTCATATTTGGGTCATGGGGTTTGAGTTAACCCAACATGATCCAACCCAAAATTAATCTAATTTAAAGTTGGACGGGTTGGATGTAACCCATTTAAATGAAGACCCAATATTAACCCGCGCGAAACCCGCCTAACTGCCAGGTATAGATTATAGTGTTTACATGAGAAAAGTTTTAAAGAGAAAGAACAAGCATGAAATGCTAAAGTGAGTTGCTTCTTAATAAAAACAATTATATTTCCTAGTGGTTAACATTCCTACTAATCTTTCTAATTAGTTAATCATCATACTAATGTTCATTTTTTCTTTTCTTCTTCTTCTTCTTCTCTCTTTTTCTCTGTCTCCCATCCAAGCTGATGGATCAGATTTTGAATCATTCTAAAGTGGAGATCAGCAATTTATTTTATGTAATTAGAATGTTGTTTGTTACATCTTTGCTTGGTTTTGCCTTTTCCTCCAGTTGATCTTATTTCATTTGGCTTCATGATACTAAAAACCCTCTTCGGCCTTCATCCCTACCAGGGGAATTGATGCACAGTTGCATCTGCAGCAGCTAATGAAAGTCTAGAATGTTTTGGGCACTCCTGAAGTGGCAAAACCTACACCAAAGGTGAATAATGAGTCATTTGCTAACTTGAACTGGATTGATTGAATGGCTTTAGAAAGATATTGGTATATGTGCCTAGGGTTGATAGATTACTAAAATTCAACCATAATTCTTAAAAATTGTTTTCTCATTAGGTACATATGTGTCAAATGACAATTATACTGGACAGACTTGTTCAAATGCAATTGCAAAATCACCACATTCAAAGTCAAAATACACAACTAATTTTATAGCATGCCACTGATACCACAAAAATTCAAGAAGACCAACTAATTCTTTACAATTCAGAAGAACTTTAGCTTCAATATTTTGCATTTGAGTATAATGTTTTTTTTTTTTCTCATTTCATTTCATTTGCTAGTATTGTAGTTTGTGTCATTTATGTGAGACACAACTTAAACGGAAGAGAAGTATCTATTATCCAAAAAGTAACATGTAGTTATTAACAAATGCTTAGACGAATACTAAAATGTGGTTAATTAATCAATAGACCAAAATCTCATTAGCAACCACAAACTCTAACTCTTTTTTTTTTTTTTTTTAAGTGTAGGTGGAAAGTTTCGAGTATGAAATTTCTCATTTACACTCTGTTCCCCTATGCCACCTAACTCATCTCCTTCTCTCTCTCTATTTTTTTTTTTGTCATCGTTACTTTATCTATATCCTACTACGGGTGCACTATGTACCTGTATGAATTTTTTAGAGAAACCACGTATTATGGCAATTGATAGGAAATAAGGTTTGAATCCTTGACTTCCTATCCCACCAAACTTTAAAGACTTGATGGTGGGCAATAGCTGGTTAACTCATCCCCTTCTCCCCCAACCAAAAGATAACTAATAAGAGTTGTGACGGTAAATTAGATATTTTACACATCATCTTGTAAATGGCTAAAAATAATCATACAAAGAAATTGTCAAATTTTTGTTAAAGTTGTGATTGCCTTTTTTCCTTTAATACAAGAAAATGAAATGCTATGATAAACATAGGTTGAATTTTGGAAATTTTTTATTAATTTTAATTTAAGTTAAAATTTCATTTTAAGCTGTGTTCTCCATTCTTATTTCCTTTTGAAAATCCATAATCCAAATACAGGAATTTCTTTCTTTAGAATTCCTTTCCAGTTCCTTAGCACTTTTCTTTGAAGTATTTGGGTTTAAAAAGAAATTCACTTTTTATTTTCCACTTTCTTTTCCTCACTGGTTTCCTAGAACCAAACAGGGCCTAAGGAAACGAGAGATACTCTAAGGTGAAGCTCGTTCCTTCCAAAGCAGATTGATTTGATTGGAGGGAGTAGGAACAATTACTGGGAGTTAAATGAGATTGATTCGTCTTTCTTGTTTGATGATTTTTGTGTTTTTCATTTTTCATTTTTTTTTGGGTAAAGTATATAAAACCCTCCTGTGGTTAAGAAAATTGACACGAAACCTCCTCATGATTTAGAAACTCCCACTTAACCCTCCTGTGCTTTGGCATTGTTTGGATTTTACCTGCTAATCGGCTGGGGAGCCGGTAATAATATGAAATACCAAAAATACCCTCATATATAATATGTGAAAAGTTACAGATGCAATGAGTCAATCTGGAGCGGATGAAAGAAATTGAGAGAGAAACCCTAAACCTATAACGAAGAAGAAGGTAACTGTATTGTTGAGCGGTGCGAGTTATGGTGAAGATCTGTCGGGCTTGAGATACATTTCACGTTTAGAGAGAGAAACCCTAAACCTAATTCCAAAAAGAAGGTGTTTGTGTGCTGCGGATCGGGAAACCTACAGCCAAGAACATCGGTCGGTGCTTTAGTGCAGATGGATCAGCGTTTATGTGTAGATTGGTCGAGAGTCGCAACGCATTGAGCATATCTGAACCAGGTAAAATACATATATGAACCTTATGCATTAGACGAGTTGATTTGTTTGATAGCAGGTGTTTTGGTACTAAATTGTTGGGGATATTTTGAAACTTGGTAAAGGAACCACCATGTTTGGCTTAGTTAGAAGTGTCTCCGACAATGTTTGTGAGAATTTATTTTTAAAATTTGGTAAATATTGCAAAATGTCAGTTTCGGCTTGGTCAGAAGCTTTTCCGACAGTCTTCCGACAATGTTTGTGGGAATTTTTTTTGCTTTTTTATAACAATACGCAAAATGTCAAGATTTGGCTTAGTCAGAAGCTTTTCTGACAATGTTTGGGTGCAATTATTTAAAAAATTGCAATATACTGCAAAAAAATATGAGTTTTTGGGGAGTAATCGAATTTTCATTGGTCCAT